CCCATCCCAGGGAACAATTCCTAATTCCCAAAATCCCATCAAATCCTGCTTTGAAGCCATTCCCTGTGTGCTGTCCCTCCATCCTTGTCCCCAGTCCCTCTCCAGCTCTCCTGGAGCCCCTTCAGGCCCTGCCAGGGGCTCTGAGCTCTCCCTGCAGCTTCTTCTGTCCAGGCTGAAAACCTGTGTCTCACATTGTGCCCAATCCCTTTCAGTGGCACAAGTTTTCTCCTGTCTGTGGATCACAGAGCAGCTCTTTGGGACAGGAATTTGTTCTGGTTTGTTCCATAAAAACCCCTGGCAAGGACCATGAGCATTGCCTGAGAGCATTCCATGACTTGGGATGTCAAACACAGGAACTCCCCCTTCTGACATCAAGTGGGTTTGAGCAGCTGTTCTTACAGCTGTGCACAGATGGAAATGAACTCTGCTACAGGCTGTCCCTGCATGGAAAGGGTTCAGCAGTTTCTTCAGCTCCTGAGCTGGATTCATGTGACATTTTTTCCTGACTCATCTCTAAAAAAAAAAAAAAAAAAGATATCAAAATTCTCTCACATTTTCACAGGCAAGAGCCCGAAGATTTGGGAGCCCCTTGTTTGAAGGTCCTCAGGAGAGTCAGGAATCACCTGGGGAGCTGAAAATGGGAGGTGGGGTAGAATAAAGGACTTCCTCCTCCCCTTACCCAGGGGGTCTGGCCAATTGACTCCACCACATCCCCGGGCAGCTCATCCCAGTGCCTGACCACTCTTAGAAGGGACAAATTGTTTCTAATCTCCAATCTGAGCCTGCCCTGGAGCAATTTAGGGCCATTTCCTCTCACCCTTTCACTTGGGACATGGCAGAAAAGACTGACCCCACCTCACTGCAGCCTCCTTTCAAATCATGGAGTGTCCTGGAGTGAATCCAGTTTGTTCCTCTTTGTTGCCCAAGCAGCTGCCATCAGTCCCACCGAGCTGTTTCCTCCATGTGGCTTTTGTTGTGTTTCGCTGCTGCAGGTGATCGATCACAAATTGTACGGGAGTCGCTCGGAATTCGACAGCACCATCGACAGAGTCCTGGAGGAATTCTCAGTGGAGCTGATCTGTCTGTCAGGATTCAGGAGAGTTTTGTCCAGCCCTTTTCTCCGAAAGTGGAAAGGTAACAATTTAAAAGAGAAACTAAAGCAGGGGTGGTTGACTGACTGTCAGAATTTGTTGTCCTTTGATTAAATCCCTCAGCTCTGCTGACATTCCAGCAGGGTGAATCCCTGTGATTCCCTCTGGCAGTGGGATTGTTTTGGGATTCTGCTTCCATTCCCTCTGGCAGTGGGGCTGTGTTGGGATTCTGCTTCCATTCCCTCTGGCAGTGGGATTGTTTTGGGATTCTGCTTCCATTCCCTCTGGCAGTGGGATTGTTTTGGGATTCTGCTTTCATTCCCTCTGGCAGTGGGGCTGTGTTGGGATTCTGGCTGAGGATTGCCAGAGGAAGCCCTCGTGCTGCCTCAGCAGTGACAGAGGGGCAGAATGAGGGCGTGGGGTGGGTCTGTGCCTTCCCCAGGGAAGGGGTTTGATCCCATCCTTTGCCAGGGAGCTGTGCTGGGGAGTCCTGCTGAACTCAGCCCCTGCAGTTCCCACCCAGAGAAAAATGGGAGAAAGGCAGATTTATCCATTCCCAGGAGGGATTTCTCCCTGACACAGCTCCAGGTGTGCCCCAAGTGAGTGAGGGGTGATCAGTGAGTTAATAAAGGGTGAGCAGTGAATTAATAAAGGGTGAGCAGTGAATTACTGCCAGCTCCTGAGGCCTTGCTCAAGAGTTACTCACTCACTGACAGCTTGGACAGGCTCCTTTGGGAATGTTATTGTACCCATGCTCCTGGAAGAGCAGAATTCCCTCAGATCAGAGCTGAAATTAAGTGAAAGCAATTAAATTTAAATTATCTTTTTTCCTTTTTTTTCCTCCTTTCATACTTATGCCCAGGGAAAATTTTGAATGCTTCTCCATCACTTTTTCCACACATCAAGGATGGAAATGCCCATCAAGAGCCCCTGGAAAGTGGATTCAAAGTCGAAGGCTGCACTGTGCATTTCGTCCTGGTGAGTGGCCTCAGAACTGGGAAGTTAGGGAAATTTGGAAGTTAGGAATTTGCTTTTTTTTCTTTTCTTTCTGGGGGCAGAAACAGAGGTAACAGGAATGTGTGGGGAACCTTGGGATTGCTACCAGTAAAAACCAGGAAGATTTGGGATTGCTTCAAGGCCTGTCTTCCTCCCTTGCATTTTGGGGTGGATTTTTCCCATTCCTCCTCCTTCCAGAACGTGCCAGCCCAAATCTCCCCCCAGGGCTGTCCCTCACAGAGCTGTCACCTCTCTGGGGAGGTGGCCCTGGAGCCTCCTGCTCACTCCCAGCCCTGTGCTCCATGTCCATCCCCATCCCTTCCCCAGACCCTTCCCCATCCCTTTCCCCAGCCCTGTGCTCCATGTCCACCCTCAGACCCATCCCCAGACCCTTCCCCAGCCCTGTGCTCTATGCCCACCCTCAGACCCCTCCCCAGCCCTGTGCTCCATGTCCAACCCCAGATGTGCTCCATGCCCACCCTCAGACCCTTCCCCGTCCCCTTTCCCATCCCCATCCCTTTCCCTTTCCCCTTCCCCGCCGTTCCTGAGCCGTTCCTGCCCTCAGGAGGAGCCGGGCGCCGGGGCCGCGATCCGCCGGGAGCCGCTGCCGGGGGACCCGGAGGCCGCGCTGGAGCAGCGGCTGCAGGAGGCCGAGCTCAGGGCCTTCCCCCTGGCCCTGCAGCTGGTGGCCAGCGGGGCCGTGTGGCTGGGAGCCCACGGCAGAACGTGCTGGAAGAGGGACGGGCAGGGACAGGGACAGGAGGAGCAGCAGGGACAGGAGGGAAAGCAGGGACAGGGACAGGAGGGACAGGAGGGGCCGGGACGAGGAGCGGCCGCGGCGGCGCCTCAGGAGCGTGAGGGGATCTGGGCCGAGCCCTGAGGGCTGAGAAACAACGCTCACTCTTTATCATTTTACACGTTTCATAAGGGATGTTATAAATGAGAGA